AGAAACAAGATACTGCTGACGCTGGTAAGTCCTTGCATCTCTCCTCCACTATAAAGTACAAGTTCATCTCTTGCCTCTGAGCTGAGCAGGTTTTTTAGTTCAGTTTGAAACACAGCAGGCTGACAACCGTTCACTGTTTTAACACAGCAGTTCCTAAGGAAGGTCCTCAGAAAGCAACAATTCTTTTAAAAATTGTAATGATATGCTGTTATTCAAAAACTTTCCAAGTGGTGTTACAGCTTGGTGGAGCTCGTAAGGGCTGCAGACTAAGCTATTTTCCACAGTGTGAAAATTTCCTTTGATTTATAGCCATCCTCAGTGAACAGCTAGCATGGGCTATGACTGCTACTCTTCCATTACTTTCCTCCATTTGCTTTAAAGACAGTTATCTTCTCCTGCAGACAAACACCAACAAGTAACTGGAAGAGAACCCCTGCAGAATGCACTGTCCCAAGACACAAGGAAGAAAATGGAAGAGCTTCGAAGACACAGCAGCACAACTTCGGCTGGGAAGGAATTTCCATCTTGCCTGGACTGAGCTGGGCATCCAAATTCCTTCAAAATTGATGGGTTACCGGTATAGTAAAGACAAATGTTTATCTGCTAGATCTATTGCCTTTTGCTCACTGCACCTGTCTGCAAAAGTACTGCCATTTCATCTTCACATCTTCTGCTGTGTCCAGCAGAACATGGGAAGTCCTCCCCCTCTACTCTGCCCTGGTGAGACCTCACCTGGAGCATTGTGTCCAGTTCTGGGCTCCCCATTTCAAGAGGGACAGAGATCTACTGGAGAGATTCCAATGAAGGGCTGGGAGGATGACTGGGGGACTGGAACACCTGCCTTAGGAGGAGAGGCTGAGAGACCTGGGGCTTTTTAGTCTGGAGAAGAGAAGACTAAGGGGGGGGGATCAATTAATGTGTATAATTATAAGAGAGCTGGGTGTCAGGAAGGAAAGGGGCAACCTGTTTTCACTTGTGCCCTGTGATAGGACAAGGGGCAATGGTTACAAGCTGGAGCACAGGAAGTTCCACCTCAACACGAGGAAGAACTTCTTTACTGTAAGGGTTCCAGAGCACTGGAACAGGCTCCCCAGGGAGGTCGTGGAGTCTCCTACCTTGGAGACTTTTAAGACCCATCTGGATGTGTTCCTGTGTGACCTGCCCTAGACTAGATGGTCCTGCTCTGGCAGGGAGGTTGGACTCTATCTCCAGAGGTCCCTTCCAACCCCCCACATTCTGTGATTCTGTAACCTTGAGAGCTTTATTTTCAAAATATGGCAGGTTAAGAAATAACTCAAGGACAATGGTTTGTTTTCATTTGACATCTCAGGACAAGTGTCACCCAGCAAAAGAGGTATTTTCTTCTGAGAGTTTTCCATATAAAAACAGACAGGAACAAAATGTGACTAAGTGTAATAAATGGCTCTGTGTTCCTGTCCACATTTTTGCGCCACCAAGCATCCAATCAGAGCCAGTCAGGAATCTGCCAAGGACTGATTTCTGGGAATTAAAATGAACACTCACTGTAACATAATCTATTCATCTCTAGGTAACTTTGCTCAGATATAATGATATTACTGATATGACATTTATTCTAGTATACCACAAACACATTTTAGAAGCATCAGAGCAAACAGTTTTGCTAAGTAGGTTTCATACATTCAGAAGACCATTACACATAAAGCTTTCCCTAGGGAGCTTTTCATCTTGTTTTTTCACATTTCATGTTGAGGGTGCAGTGCCAATATCATACATTCAATATAGCAAGGAGCTCTGACTTTTTTTAAGTTCTTAGTTATAAAATACCTTTTTCCACAAAAGATAGCAGAAAGTGCCGAAAGTTTTCCTGTTCGTTGTGAACAGTTAAGCACATTGATACACGTACTTCAGAAATCACACTTTTATTTTCATCTGAGCAGAGTGTGGATAACTGCTATTAGTGAGATACTTCTTTGACCAGTCATCTCTTTAGAAAACCAATTTATTTTTATTTTTTATATAAGTTCCCCCTCTTTTTTTTTTTTAATCAGAACTTGTATTTCTTTGGACATAATGCTTATCTGTTAACTTCAGAAGGCTCATTCCTGTTTTACAAAAAAGGACAAAGTTTTTTTGTAGAGCTTTTTGCAGAGAAATGTAGCATTAAAACAGCTCATCTACGTTAATTAGATACATCTGCTTCTGAAAATAAGTCCAGGTCTATAAACCACTTCTGCTTGGCCATGTGTAAATTAGGCTAGCAGGCATTATGAAACTGAATTAAAAAGTGCTGTAAGCGTGCAGCTACAGCCAGAAATGTGACCTCTGATGTGAACGTCTCCTGTACATTTTTTCTGAGATAGCAAGATATTGTTTTCTGATATCTTGCTTGCACTGCAGGCCTTTAAATTGAGAAGCAGTAACAGGATTATCCTGTCTTATACACTTCAGTCCCACTGTATTCTAAAATCTGTATTAATGACAGATATCAAACAAAGCCTAATTACTGCAACCTCAAAGCTTTATTTCTACTATCTGAACCATGTGAAAAGCATGGGATCCTTTCCCTTTCCTAAGAGGAATGCAGAATTCCCAGCTTATTTGCAGTGCTACTACCTGGAGAAACAGCTGTGAGATACTTCAACAGCAAGCATTGATTTTCATTAGTGGGTGAACAGTGTCTTTTGCCCTCCTGCCACAAATAGCTGTGTAATAACATATGCCACCCGAGGTGACTATTCCTGTAAGATTTTGCATCTCAGTTCAACACAGCACTCCAGAGGTATTGGCTACACTGCAAGTAAAAAGCGGGCGTACACTTTAGTACCCAGTTCACAGAGGTGATAATGTCACCACTAGGGACGGCCAGTCATCCCATCATACACCTGCCCTGTGTGCCATTTGTCCATGTGTCCAGTCACCTGAACAGTCCATCACGGGAAGCATACTCAGCCTCCTTCTGAAGACGACTCCACAGACAGTGTTTACATGTATCACAGGACTACCTGTCTTTAAAATTAAGGTTCTAAAGGTACGCTGCTGATCAACAAGGAAGCAAAGAAGAAAACAGACATGATTTTGCAGGAGGTACCCTATCTCATCAGGGTCCCTGGACCTTCAAACTTAAACATGCTTACATACAGGAGAAACTGTGTATGACATTCGCAGAACTTATATTTTTGTACGTTACCTTTAATACAAAGCAGTGATCTGTAGGTGCCTTATATTTCATTTTGTGTTGAGAACCGTAATAAACGTTTATATTCTCAAACTGAACGAAGCATGCCAGATCCCGTGATGTCTACAAATGAAAACCAAGCACATCATTGTTAGAAATAAACTTTGATGTGAAATTCATTAATAGCATTTTTTTCAAGTGCATGAATTCAAATGTTTTAATTTTTTTAACTGTCATGAAGCTGACTGAAGAAAGATTAATTTTAAGTGTGTGCATTAGTAAACTAAAAACTGGAAGACGGTCAGTACCTATTAGGAACAATATACAAAACAGTGCAATATTTTGCTGTGCTTTATTGCTTTGTGTGGAGATTTTGGCTTATGGTTAATAAGACACCATGATAAAAAGCAACTTCAGTAAAACAGACACGGGCCTTGCAAACAGACCCTTACAATTCTGAGTGGAGAAAGAAGGTTTGGGGTTCTAAAGTGCTTTGGGAGCTTGTTTTTCTATGGTATATGTAATAAACTCTCATGAAGGATTAAGTTCACATTTCATCCGGTTTGCTTTGAATTTGCTCAGACTTCCTGGCATCACTCCTGTTCTGTTTATTGCAGTATTTGCTTGTTCACAATATGTTGCTGAAGTAACACGGTGTCTGTCACTGGCACAGTTATTGTAGAATTCTGCATACAAAATGTAACTTTTGCAAGCCTTTGAGTGGAAATGGAAAAATGGCTGTGCCACATTTTCACTGTTGGCTAAATTAAGAAATCAGGAAAAAAGAAAAAAAACCTATTCTTAGGGTTGCAGAAGGTTTATTTCCACATACAGCGGTTCTTGTATGCTGTTCTCATTCTTACTGATACTTTCATGACAATACATCCTTGAGTTGGGTTTATTTACAAATTGAGTTTTCAAATCTCTCTCTCTCTCTCTCTCTCTCTCTCTCTCTGTCTGCCCTGAAGCTGATGTCAGGGATTTTGTTAAAAATCTAAACAACAAAAAACACCAAAAGTACATGTGCAAAACTATCCAAAGGTAACCCTGTATTTTTACAGGTTTGCAATGTATTTTTTACAGCCAACATGAAGTGCCAAAAGCATGCCAAACTTCTTTGCTTTTTACAATAAGTGGAAACATGATTTTATGATGAATTTCAAAACAGCTGCAGCAGCTGAAGATACTGTTGTCCACCAACTGTTTGTTTCTGTACCTCGGTGAAAGATGGCTCTAGCCACAACTGAATGAGCACAGCAAGGTGCGTGTGCACTCTTCCTATCAGCCTGACAGGGGATGAACCCTCATAATTTAAGGGCTTTGACTGAAGAACTCTACATTATCTCAGGGTCAGGTAAAGTCAAAATAAATTGCTGTGAAAGCAGCGAGGTAATCTGGGTCTGTGTTTCACTGAGCTTTGGTTATAAACACAGGTGACTGGAGCAGCACCACAGCATTCCCTTATAAGCTATTTTATTACTTTTTTTTTTTCCCCCTTTGTAAGTCAAGGAATAGCAGCACAATTAAGTTTCAGCACAAATCATAACAGTAAAGCTCCATTAGCAGCACCAGAATTTTCAAATATGAAGCATCAACAGAGCTGTAAATGGTAACAGAAATGGTTTTCAGAATGCAGAAAAAAAAAAACCAAACAAACCTAAAAACACCAGCTTCACCATTCTACCTCATCACTGTGGAAACGAGAAGCCAGCCAATCTTACACACAATGTTTGCAGGACCCTTTTACTTCTCCAGTGCTGGTAACTCAGACCCTTTAAATATTTTGCAATACTAAAAGTCGGCGCATTTGATTCAGTCAGGTGGATGCTTCTGTCTCACTTCTTTCTACACAAAGGGCAATCTTAAGAAGCTTAAAAAGGCAGAACACATTACCTAGGTAAAGATCACTGTAGGAAAAGATGTACAGCATTTCTGCATGATGGTGCAGAAACTCAATAGCAAACAAAGTGAAATTCCACCTTTTATGTGGTAAGACATTAGTTTGAGAACTTTTAAAATATTCTTCCAGAGAGAACCCATATAACAGTGAAGCATTTTGCCAGCGCAACACTAGCTGAAGGGTGCTGTGCTGTTTTGCTTTCCCCTACTGGCTTCCGGAGGGGTACTATTTCATTAATACTTCATCCACAGAAATCAAAAGGAGAGAAACGTGACAGGATTCAGAGACTACATTCTAATATTTGCACAACTGGTATAGTCAAAGTTAAAAAAAAAACCCAACCCTCTTAGATGCGCCAGACAGTCCTCTTAAAATGTCACCTTGGGACTTCTTGACTTTCACCTCCATGAATTGTTTTATTGCTAAAAGGATTATTTGTCTTCCTGACCTTAGTTTTTCCTTTGGGTACATAATAAATTCCAGAAGCTCGTAGAAGAAAATAACGCCTCTTCCAAGACTTTCTTCCATCTTCTTTTAAATAAAGGGCCCCTTCCAGCTCTGGCACAATGACAGATGTCCCACAGAAGCTTTCCTGTATTTATTAATACACAAGATAAATTAAACACAACTCTATTAATAAATAGCAGAAGAACGTTCCCTTGAAAAATAAAGACATTTCCTTTAACAGTGAACATATGAACATCGAAAATGCAGTTACCACATGAACACCTTAGACAGGCAAAGGAAACTCTTCCAGGCTCATGTGGTAACCCAGCCGTGTAAGCTGGGGTCTCACACTGGAAAAGAAGGCTTGCAAAACCTCCATTCTCTAAAGGATCAAGCAAAAACCTGTAAAACGTTTTAACTAGACATAGACATGCTCAGTGAAGACAAGAAAGCAATGGCTGGTACTGCTGATGTAGTTTTTTCTCTATTGCTGTAACTATAGGTTTTGTAGAGAAAAACTTCCATAGGGAAAAATATTTTTTTTATTTTTTTTTTTAGAGCGTAGAGCTCTAAAAACAGCTAAAAGAAAAGAACTCCCCTCAATCTCTGCTTTCCTTTTGAAATACATGCTAGCATTTATAGCACTATCTCATGAAATACGTTTCATCATTTTCTTGAAGAAACTTCTGTTGGGTAATTTTTAATGCAAACCATACTTCTCACAATGTTTTCATTTAGAATTTACCAGGACTTCTGTTGTTTGACATCTGGTGCCTTCAAGAGATGCACTAATTTTGAAATGGGAGTCCTCAGTCAACTGAAAACAGCATTTGTTTTGTGAACTTTACCAAAATCAAAACGCTTGTCAGGAGAACTGTGATAATTTTTTCTTTCATATAGCTCTCGATTTTTCTCTCTCGAACATACAACTGAAATAAAACTTCAGCAAGAGGCTAAACAGACTTTCTGCAAAAGTGCCAAGGTTGTTTTTCTGTTGTTAGCAGAGTGGACAATTTGAGGTGGTGAGCAATACTTCTATTTCTAACCCAAAAGATAATAGTTTACTACTGATCAACCTTACTAACAATATAAAGTCAAAAGGGCTGGCCTAAGGGTGTGGCACAGCCTTTTCTTTCATCAGTATTTGTGTAACACTGCTTTTATTGTTGTCATGGCATTACTCTTCAAAGACACACTAAGTAAAAACATTTCACGGCACTGGGATCTGTAACAACACAATCATGCTTCATCGTTTAATTTTGCCAATGGAGGAATACACAATCTGCATTTTTAATGGTGAGCAGCAGATGCAGAGGAAAATCCACAAACTAAACCTTAGACACAAAAGATACCAACTGCCACAGAACTTCCTGTTATACACTTGCCCACAAAGAAATAAATGTTGTTGCTGCAGAGCAGATGTAGATGGTGGCAAGAGTTTTGGTGACGTATGCATCATCAACCTAAAAAGTTGGCTTACCTCCAGTAAAGCCTCTTTGTTTTTATCATTCATTTCTTGGCTCCCATTCTTCCCTTTGCTTGCTAGGTAGAAATTCTGATTAAGATACAAAAGAAATTGTTGCTGATTATAAAGACATCAGTACAAGCAACTAGATCATTACAAAGCCATTCAGTAGTTACTCAGTCTTTCAATACTGAGCACCCAAGCCAGCCGATGCAAGAAGCAGATGCTTATGGATTCTTCTTACAGAAAACTTAAATCACAGCTGCCTGCTCATAAGTTTTCATTCTTGGAATTCAAAAGTAATACAAAATTACAAGATTACCTATGTATATACAGAATCCAAAAAAAATTAAAAACACTGGCTTATGGTTTTGGCCAGTTTTATGGATCAATGGGTTTGATTTTATCATTCCAATTTTCACCACTTCCTATATTATTACAGGTGGTAGAGAACATAGCATTTTATTACATGCTGATGTACAATGAATACAATGCAGTGTCAGAAGGCTAGGAAGTCTGACAACCCACTTTGGTAACTTGCACAATTCATATCTGGCCCTTTGGATATAATTTGGCTCTTAAGTGTTGATAAAGGTGCTTATATGCCAAAGCCTTTATCCAAAGTTCTATTTTTACCTCCCCGCTCAAGCTCTGCAAACTATTTTTACGCAGTGAAGATGGTATTCAAAAATCTAGAAGAAATTAGAAGAAAATATCACCACGATATCTTGGCATATGTGCTCCAGCCTACTGAAACAGAAGTCTACACTTTGAAATGACCCTCTGTCTCTGTGGCAGAGGGCTGTGAAGCTGCAGCTGCCCTCAGAGGACCCAGCGCCTGTCTGCCCTACAAACAAGGAAGCACATTCCTCACCAACACAGTTACCAGTAAAAATAAATTCACCCACTGTTAAACAGCAAAAAAAACAAATTTTGCATCCATCTGTATTGTACAGGTGGATAAAAGGACAGTATGTGCAAATTCAGGGAGTTGGGAAGGTAGCTCAGGAGCATTCTAGGACTTCTGTGCTCCAGGAGCACGTGCAGCAGCTTTGCTCAACAGCAAACACGGCCAGGTAGCAGAGCCCGGCTGCCAAAGGAGGCGGGGAGATCCAGGAGCTATGTCCTGCATTACGTAGCACTTGGACCCATGGGCTTGCAGCCAGAATAACTCTCAAAGTTCTTGTGTTTTATCATTTTCTAAACAAAAATACATGTCGAAGAGGAGCTTGGATTTGGAAATACCTGATGCATGGGGCAGACTTAATGATTTCCCTAGAACTAGTCAAAAAGCTATGTTTGCAGAACAAAGAGCATAAAATAAACATTACTGTCTAGGAAACAGACAAAATCATAAAAACATGACAAATTTTGAAAGCTATCTACTTAAAAATTACTCTTAATTCTATAATTCTTCAGCAGTTCTGTAAAAAGAAAACTAATGAGTTTATCTGACTTTTCAACTCCATTTTTTATCTCAAGACTACAAGAATGTGGCAACATATTTACATGCCTAGAACTCCTCAATGACTGAACTGCAACTCAAATGCAAACGTTACCCAAAGACAAATAAGTGTATAAATGAAGGAATATGCTGTTTTTACAGCATGAGAGAGAAACAAACAAGTGGCAAATCTGTCCTGCCAGCATACTGTGTTTATAGTAATGTGGTTTGTCTGAAGTGAAACCTGGTTCTTCCACACAATCACAGCTTTTTCAAGCAGTGCAGGGGAACAGCTGTCTGCCAGGACACAAGCCTTATAACAGACAGTTTCTGGAGGGGAACTAGGAGAGGAAGGGGAAGAGGTGTGGATGATATCAAAACCAGTTCTTTAAAAACTGCTTTCTTTAAAGTTACATTAAGTCAGACAGGGGACATCAGAAACACAGCCACCTGCAATTTGGCTTATGCTGATGCCATGTCTTTGTTATGAACATAAGAAAAGAAACTTGAACATTCAACACAACAGACAAGTTATGCTAGGAAATACAGCAACGTTCTTCTCTATGATATGCATCAGCACATAGCTGGCTCCAGACTTCCTGGGCACTTTTTAGTCCATGGATGAAGGGCCACAGCTTCATGACTACATCTGAAGACAGTATTCATAGTGGTAAGAAACCCAAACCAGCTCCAAACAAAACTGACATAAGTGTGTTCTCAGTACAACCCATACAGCAATGTCAGCCTATGCAGTCCAAAGCCATAGGTCTGACTGAGCGACCATGCTCCCACTCATCCCACTGGAAAAAGAGGCACTGTTCTGAGCAGCTGCAGCCAAGTCCTCTGTACACTTGCAACAGCTCTTCTTGACAGGGAGCACTATCACAGTACTGCTGGATTCATGTTGACACAGTCACATTTGCACTAATGAAGGTATGAAGTGAAACCTCAGAGGACAGTGTTAGGCTGAACTGGGCTTCCAGACTTTGGGATGGATTTGGAAAGGAGAGGGACATGCAAGCTTTAAGTCTTCTTCTATAGATCATTATAAAGACATAGTACAACCCATAGAACACACAATGAAGATTTATCAAGGTAAGTACACCTTATCACTGTCTCAACAAGGCTTGGCTCATCAGCTTTACTACCAGTGGGGAAAACATTCATCTGGCTCACTCAGCCTTCAGTGCACTGAAAATAGGAAAACAAAGCTCCTCTGACTGCAACAGATTCACATGCAGGCATCTGGCATTTATTTAACAGTAACACAGACCACCCTGTAATGACACAACCAATGGTAAAGAAAGCAGGTTTGTAATGCTATCCATGCTGGATCTCTAACAACACAGCTTTTTCATTAGGGAGACAGAGCTCTGTCACTTAACCCAATGTTACTCAGATGTACTCTGTCATCTTTCACCTCTCAACACACTTTCCATTTATTACTGATTACCTCCTTTATGTCTCTGCCCTGAAATCTGGAAGTGCACAGTACTTATTTGTCGGTGGCTAAAATCGTGAGGAGCAGACTGTACACTGTGCTTGTTTTATCACTGTGTGGTCTGCTATTTTTGATCAGAAGCATTCATCCTATAGGAGATAAACCACATTTGTCCACAAGAGGTCATTCCAAGTCCAGCAGTCAAAGGTCATGATAAAAGGCAAACTCTTTCCTATCTGAGGACACCACTGGGAAACACATGTTTGGTTTGAGATGTCATGGAATTAATGGGTCAAGATGTGGCTACAGGGCAGCTCTCTGCATATGTCTACAGATTCGAGAATTAGCTTTTTTTATATCCAAAAGACAATGCCTTTCTTTTGATAGATAACTGAGCATACTTAATGGGATGGATTCATTCTCTAGGGCTGATAACATAGAAAAGCAAACATAAAGGGTTAGCTGTTGGGTTATCTTAAACTAAACAAAGAATGCTGGCACACCTTGTCACTGGGTTTGGCTTGCTTCCTCTCTTTGGGTTATTTGCTACAGAGGTGAGCAGTTGAGTGGTTTTGCTGAATGATTCCCTGTGCCTACACATCCCAGACCAGCTAAATCTGACACAAAGCCAACTGCTCCCAAGCCATTCTGCCCAACTCAGACCAAAGCAGAGATATGATGACAGCTTTGACATATACTGCTAGCCAGGTATGACATCCTTAAGAGACATCACACCAGCATTTCCCCCGTGCTTATGCAGGACAGCAGCAAAAGTAGCTGATGACCCATCTACAGCTTTACATTAGCAGGAAATTCCATAGGAACAAAAGAAAATCCTGTAAAGATTTTATAGCTAGCTAGCTTAAGTTATTTTGTGCTTTGTACTGTGAAGTACCACCAGTCTACACGTACAATCTTTCTGCTTAGGGATACAGTCATACCCTTTTGTGGGGAAAGGCAGGTAAAAAATTTCAGGCTGTATCTGTCTCCATTCAATAAATGTCAAGCAGTGGAAGACAGAAGGTGTTTTCAATAGTTTCAAAGAACATCTCTAGTAGCATGTAAGCAAACCAAACCTGGATCATGACAGGAACAGTAGCTTTATCTACTGCACTGCCAAACTCTCTGATTGGTGTTTCTGTATTAATAAAAAAGAAATTTCCTAAATGAAAGAGCACATCTCTCATAACTCTCATCCTTTTTCATACATAGCTCAATGAGAGCTCCAGGCTCAATCCAGCAGCTACTTGTCAGTACATAGCAAAAAACAGGTGTTCAAGGCAGCATCCTCCCTGTTTCCCTTCCACTTAGGTTATAGTTTTGCTTTCAAGCTATTGAAATTGTTTCTCCAGAAGATCTGCAAGGTCTGCAACAGCACAGATCAGACAGCAAGGAGCAAACAAGGCAGCTGCTCTATACTCATGACTTTGTGCAATAAGCTGCCTGTCCATTCTCACCCAAACTGCACCCAGAATGGGGCAAGAACTGGCCAGCTCGCATCCCATTTCAGCCAGCTGCAACTGTGTACGGAATGCACCGTGGTTTGTGTAGAAAAAATAAAACAGAACACAGTTATAACTGCAACCTGCATCATGTGTGCCCTAAAGAAATGCACATTAAAAATATGAGAAGATATCTGTAATTGTTCCGAAGATCACAAGTAATAAATAAAGCTAAAGGCAAAGCCCTTTTGAATCCCCCCAAACTGATTTCCAAATCTGTTTACTTGATTTTCTCATGTTTGAAGAAATCACTACAGCTGATCTCTCATGCCTTGAGGATGACTTCATCCTCAAAGAGGAGGGAACATGAAACAAATGACAGACATACATAAGCTAGGAGGCAGTTAATAGCAAAGCTCCGAACAGGCTGATAAAAAGTCATCTGCAAAATGGCTTAAATGTGTAAAGACTATATCTGTGTTTCAGTCCCAAGGCAGAAAAACAAAAATATTTAAGTAGCATCATAAGCTTGAAACTATACCATGGTCTGAGATACCCTAATAGAGAGACATTAGGATTACTAGAGTGGGAGTACAGTGAAAAACATTTCCCTTTTCTCACTTTGATTTCTGTGTGTATTTTCCAGCACACTCAATAATCAGGTTCCCTGCCACCTTCTGTGTGGGTAACAGTGGAGACAAAAGAAAAACCTTGATTCATAAAGGTAGCCAAAGTGGTTAAAAAAAAAAGTATCACCTGGTGGATACTTGCCCAGTTTCACTGACTTCAAAATAAATATTCAAGCATGAAACTCATTATGGCTTTATGAAAGACATTACAAATTCTTATTCCACCTCCTCACACTGTTCAGTACACTTGCTTTTTGGAAAAAATAAAATGTCAATTCAGCGTATGGGTTCTCCGTTGGAGGGTATGGCTCTTGCTTTTGGCTTACATATGAGGAAGCAGAAGCACAAAGTACTCACTGTACAGATTTTCACTGACTTTCAGAAATATTGTTTAAAAAATAATAATTAAAAAAAAAAAAACAACAACCCACACACATATGGTATCACCTGCACAGTTTGAACTCACCCTATCTGCTTATATCAGCAGAAGAGAAACAGGAAATCAAAATCCATGTAAGGAAAAATCAAACACAGTGTTCTTAAAAGCATGACCGGCATTTACAGTCAGGAGTGTAGACTCAGCTGCCTCTTACAAATAACCCTGTTTAAATAAAGCCAAAGCATTCCAGCTTTTTGAAAGGTGTTGAGGCCTGACAACCTTTCCTTTCAAGAGTCAAGTACATTTCCTTTCAAGACTCAGGCACAGCATCACTCAACTGCATGACAAAGCATCACCTTCCCTGTGTTATGAAGGTTTTCTTTATTTGCACATGTACCAATATGTATTTTTGTTTCAATCTTTAGTCATAGACTTGTGACGTTCCACCTCTGTAGATGAGTCACTGATGCCATTCATGGAACAATCTTTTACTGTGAATCCCCTTCAGGGTAAATTATATCATGGTGAGGAAAAGGCAAAAGTGTGCCTGTCTTTGTTAAGATTTTGAGGATTTTGCAAATGCTTTTTCTAAAATGTATGCCAAATACTTTTTAAAAATTGTTTTCAGAAACAAAGCTGCATAAAAATATTTGAAAGGACTGCATGACAGAATGACAATCTTAAAAAAAGCCACTGGCATTAGCTGAGCAGCATGTTGCTAGCACAGATGTAGAGGACAAATCCTGCATTTCAAAACCTCTGTTCCTCCTTAGAAAATGACATCTTATTAATTGTTGTTTAATCTATACCAGATACATAACTAATCCACAGAAAGAAAGAATGAATATAGGCAGAAGTCATAGACCTTCTCCAGAGGTCTACTTGTTTCAGTAATACATCTGGACATCTTTATAATAAGATTTTTAAAAGACTCCAGCGCCTCTCTGGGCAGTGCTCCCTCACCCTCACAGTAAGAAAGTCTCTCCTGATGTTGAAGTAGAACTTCCTGTGTTCCAGTTTGGGCCCATTGCCTCTCACCCTATTGCTGGGTACCACTGAAAAGAGACCAGCCCCACCCTCTTGTCCCCCCACCCTTTATGTATTTGTAAGCATTGATAAGATCCCCTCTTAGTCTTCTCCAGGCTAAACAGCCCCATGTCCCTCAGCCTTTCCTCGTAAGAGAGATGTTCCAGTCCCTTAATACTCTTTGTAGCCCTCTGCTGGACTCTTTCCAGTAGGTGCCTGTCTCCCTTGAACTGGGGAGCCCAGAAGTGGACACAGTATACACCTATCCTGAACAATTTGATGCAATTCAATGCGCAGACCCTCTTTTTACAAAGTTAGTGCATACCAGTTTCTGCTCATCCAATTCTTCCCAGTCTAAATGAAATCCAGATAAACGCTCTGTAGTACTCGGCATACCCTTTGTGATGTTTCCTGTACAACTGGCAAAGACCAGACCTTCAAGGAAATGATGATTTTCATCAGCAGAAATAATGGAGAAACTGTAGTATTGACAAAGGCCAGGTTTCTACAGCTGTGCCATCTCACCCCAGTTCTGAGGGCTCTGCCTAAGCAACAGTTTGTACCAGTGGAAAATGACATGCTTCCTTTTTTACCACTGCAGTCAAGACTTTGTAACAGTACCAGAAAAGAACAAAAAGCACTAATTTTCAAATCTTTGCGTTCAACATTCTGGATTTTTTTTGGTTGAAAGTACAAGTTTTGCTTTCTCTAATTCCAAAGTGACAGAGCTGAAAGCAGATTAATAATGCAATAGGAAGCATACAGACTGAATGACATAATCGTAGACTCTTAAATACCATGTTAGCTTACCTGGGGATTTTTAAATAAAGCATATTTCTCACTTTTTTCCAAAAATAGAATCTTATTCTCAGTGTGTCGAGTCCAGTTTGATAACACCTCAACAACATTCTCATGGTCTTCAAAAAACCTTTCTGGAGAGACAGAAAAGGTAATGTAAGACACTCAAACTCTCTCCCCTCTCCCAAGGCTGCAGAAATTCCTGTGCAAGAATGTAATCATTATCTGATGTTCACTCAGAGCTGGGCAGCCCAGTACTCTTTTCCACTGCACACAAGGGAGCAAAACCACATGCAAATAGTGTCATGTGAAAGAGCAAATCAGCTACAGAAGATGCCTTATGCAGCTGTGGCATGCTCCTGGATTCCTGGAAACAGTGACCTGCTAGGAGTAGGTGGTTATAGCCATGTCTCTTGACAGCTTTCTGCTTTTGTTTGCTTTTGTTTTTAAGGTTTATGGTATGACTTGGGATTGGGGGTGGGGAGAGATGGTGTTTATATATTCACTTCAGCAACTGAAATTGAAAAAAAGAAAAACTTATTTCCTTGTCTTCTTACTTATTGGAAGAAATGAAAAATTGCTTTTTGTCAGCAGGGAGAATTGTATGC